AATTAATTTAAAAATATACAGAAATTGTTTTTCTTATAATTTAAGTGAAATAATAACTTGAAAATATAAGATTAGAAAATCTAAATATATGTATATTATTTAATAATAAAATATACAACAATTTAGAAAGTATATCACTTATGCAATAACATTGATATAAAAGTATTTTATAGGATTTGCAGTGATATCAAAATTAAAATTAAAAATGCAAAATCGTTAATTAAATAAAATTTTTCGATTGGCAATGCTATCTGGCATTGCAAAATGATTAAATTTATAATAATTAATTATAAGTTATTATTAAAAATAAATTTATATAATATAAGTTATTAATCAGGGTTAAGTAAGGGGGTAGGGGGAAGGCCAAAATACCCCCCTAAGATCCAGATTTTGGGATTTTACCCCCCAGACTTTTTGACCAGATAGAAAAAATTGTCGCTTAAAACGAGGAGAAATGATGAGAAACGGTGCCGAAGGCGCAGAAATTTATTTTAAGTTTATAAAAATTTTAATTTTAGTTGATACTATTTTAATAAGTGTATTTATGTTTTTAAAATTTATACGAATCTAATTATTGATTAAAAAAATAAGTAAAATAGTTAAAATAACGTTAAAACTCATGTAAAAATAACATTAATTTAATTAAAATATTAAACTAAAAAATTAAAAATTACTTATTTGTTGAAAAGAGTAATCATATTACAATTTAAATAAAAGTTTAAGATAATTTAAGAAGTTAGTATAACAATAAATACTTATATTATAAAGTTTTTATTAATAGTTTTTAGTTTTTATTAATAATTTTTAGTTTTTATTAATAATTTTTAGTTTTTATTAATAATTTTTAGTTTTTATTCATAATTTTTAGTTTTTATTCATAATTTTTAGTTTTTATTCATAATTTTTAGTTTTTATTAATAATTTTTAGTTTTAAATAAAAAATTTGAAAAAATTTTCAATTTTATAATTAATATAATTAAAACTATAACAAAAATTGAGTTAAATAATTAGTATTCAGTCAATATTTGTATAAAAATAACATTTAAAAATAAAAATATATACCTATAAACTATAAACATTAATTATTATTTAAAAAATTAATTATGTTAAAAGTTAAAAATTATTAAAATATTAAAAATAACTCATAGTGTATCATTAATGCATTTATCAACTATTTTTAAATTTTAAATACATTATTTTATTTTTTGTTAAAATTTAAGTTTTTATTAATTTTTAATTTTTTTATATTTTGTGAATATTTACCTATTTTCCGGGGAATTTATACGGGAACTTATGAGAACTTTATGGAATTTACATGGGAATATTCGTGAATTTAAGGAATTTTTATGGAATTTTCTCTTGACCCCCCTTTAATTTTGGATTTTTGAAAAATTGCCGTTTAAAATGCAATAAAATCTATACCCCCAATTTGTAAATTTCACCCAGCCTACCCCCCCCCCTAAAATCCAAAACCTTGCTTAACCCTGTTATTAATATTATTTAATTTTTAATGAATTTAAATAGTTTTTAGTAATACATTGAAATATAACAGATACTTATGTATTGACACATTTGTTTCTATAAATTAATTTATAATAAATATATATTTTTTACGAGTCGATGGATTCAATAAAATACTAATTTTATTTATATTTGTTATTTACTTACATTAAGATGAGTATAATTAATTTTTAAAATTTTGTGCATTTATTATTAAAAAATTATTTGATTATAACAATCAATTTATTAATTATACCGTTATTTGATACAATATTAAGTAATAAATAAATAAAAATAAATTATTTTTATAAAATACACGATTTGTAAATAATTTATATTAATTATTATTAGTTTGTAATTAGTTATACATAATAAAAAATTAATTGATTTTTACATTTAAAGTGAACTTTTAGATACTAATGTATGCGAAAATAATTTTTTTTTTTTGGATAAATGTTTAATGTTTTCTATTTATTTTAAAAATTATTAGAAATCATTAACTACAGTATATTTGCAATTTGTTCAAAATATTCTACAAAATTTGTTTGTTTATATAAAATGAAAAAAGTATATAAAAAATTTAATTATTTCTATTTTTAAAAATAAAACAATATGTTATTCAGTTTTAATAATTTTTTATGAAAACTATATAAATTTTTTAAATAATTTTCTATAAAAATTATAATATGCAGTATAATGGTAAAGTTATTTATAACATAAGTAATTACTAAATTTATTAAATATGTCGATCTAAAAATATATATTTATAATCGTAATAATCAATAAATTTCATCAATTGTAGAGACAAGTACTGTAATACTGAATTCGTTAATCTTTTATTATATAAGTAGCCATTGTTTTATACTTGTGTTGTATATATAAAGCCCTTAAAACTTGTCTTTTCTATACCTGAGGAAGCGTCAGGTGATGCCTTTCCCCTATCAAACATGTATAAGCAAAATATTTGTAACTCCAACTACAATAAAATGCGTCAAAAAGATATTATTTTGAAACCTAAGAGAGTGGCCACATATGATAATCATCAATAAGTTCCCATACAATGTAATGCCATAATACCATTATTTTGATAAACAAAGCAATATTTACAATTTATACATTTTTAATGAACACATTTTATTATTTATAGTTTTCATTAATATTTTTAAAACTTGAAGATATTACTTGTGTAGATAAATTACAATTTTAATTTAATATTAATCAAATTAACAATATTTTATATATACATATATATAAATTATATATATTAATCAACTTTAATTAAACTTAATGTAATACGTTATTAACAATAACAAAATAGTTTTAAAATTTATACAATTATACTTTAAATAAATAAAAATGTTTTATTAATAATTTTATTTATCGTTTGTCAATATATTGATTTTATCATGTAATTAATTTTATAAAAATAATAATAATTAATTTATAAACTATATTATAATGTCAATAAATTATGTTATAATAGTGTAAAAATTTATTATGCAGCAGATTAATCAACATTTATACAAAATTACACACACACACACACACACACACTGATATTTAGTAATTTAATATTTGATAAGATAATTTAGTAAACTATAAAAATATAATGAAATAAAATAAAAATTGTTTGCATATAAATTAAAAAATAAGTTTTAATAACAAAATGTTTATATTAATAGAAATACAGAATATATTGGTTTTTGTCATAAGTTGATCAGCCATTTGGTCTTAAAACGTGTTTAAATTGATTTTTTACTAAACAATATTTAGTAATATCAGTAAAAACAGAGAATCTTATGTTAAGCACTAATTTTATTACCTGCCAGTGCTTACATATAAAAGTATAGTTAACCAGTTGTACTAAAATAGTATTTAAACACATATTTTTCTCAGCGATACCGATGTGTTGTTGTGTTAGCAAAAGTTAAGCCGAGAGAGTGTTTAGTTGGATATGAGAGATATGTTAGCTATTAATCGACAGCAAAACACATGCGATGTGTGTCTGATGTGACGGTCCTGTTGGCACCCGATAAGAGGTCGGAGAACAGGGCGAGTATGATAAGCGCACCACTATATTGCCAATCACTTACTATATAGTATATACTCTGTCGTCACTTACTATATAGTCAAAAGTATATGTTTAAAGCTATTGATGAAAACATATACATATATATATATATATATATATATACTGTACATACTATTGTATAACACAACAGCCCTTTTTAGATGATGGCATCAATGCTGTACTACTGATCCCAACAACAAATATGTTACACAATTATAGAGCCATTCAATAATAGCTTTACATTATAGACTAATCATTAAATGGATTTTTGTCTAATTAATTGTTTGCAATACAATCTGTTTTGTTAAGTGAATAACTTTTTTAGATGTATATTAAAAGATTTTCTCAATTGTTAATACAGTATATAAAAGATGCTGATAAATAAAAAAGTGATTTTTCAATACATTTACAAAATATTAAATATATCTATATTTTATTGTATTACTAAAAGTAGGTTTTAATTTATAAATGATTATTTAGTATCTTATACACTGTGTATTATAAAGGTTATATAATACATAATATATGGTACAGTAAATATAGTTTAATAGTTAATATTATATATATATTATAGAAAAGTAAAGATTTATTCTAAATAAAAATGTAATTTAAAATACTGGTTACCGTTAATGTAATAATTATAATATATTTAAATACAATTATAATTACAATTTAATACAATTTAATATTGGTCGTATTTTAAAATTTACAAACTCTAAACAAAAATGTAATTAAAAAATTTATAAATACAAATTAAAAATTTAATTAAATTGCAAGAATTTTGATATTTTAAATCAGACCCAAACAGTATTAAATACACTATTTTATAAAAAGTTAAACAAAATTATTTTAACTTTAATTTTATTAAAATTTTCTACATTGTATTATAAAAAATGTATAGCATGTACTGTAAATGTTTGTTTTTTGTTTTGTTTAATAAATATCTTAATCAAAATTTTTAAAAAATAATATCATTCAATTACAATTTACATATTTTAGAAATTATTATTAAAAATCTAGGTTACTTATAAAATACTATAAATATCGCAAAACTTCATTAAAAAACTATAATTAACATAATTTATATTATACATGCTATAATGTATTGTTGAAGTTAGACAGTCATAATATACTGTACAGTAAATTAAAGGTAATATAAAAACAATATATAAGTTAAATTTTATTTTAAGTTAGAAATAAATAATCTGTTTTTGTTTCATATTTATCTTTATTACAATTATAATCTCTTAAATTGTAGTCATGTTATTAGTGATAATCTTACCGGTAAATTACAAATCAATTATTTAAAAAATAATATTAAATCTTTATTATTTATATACAATTATAAATAATATATTCTAATATTTTAATGATTGAATAAAAAATAATTGATATAATAATTTTAAAATGTAATTAAATATTGATTTTTTTAAAAATCAATATTTATTTTTTAAACTTTTTATTATTCTTTTTAAATTTTTTGTTTGAATTTTTCGATCCCCTCTTCTTTTTTTTAGTAAATTGAAAATCGTTGGTATCTTCGATATCCAAAGCAGTAATATCTTCAAAATGTGTCAATTCATTGGCCAACGAACTCATTGTTCCCGCTTTTTTCAAATCATTTTTCTGTTTTTTAGTCAAATTAGTTCGAGTCATAAATTCTTCTTCAAATTGATTCTTCTCATTCAAGAATTGACTCATTTTATTGTTTTTCGATTGACCAGAATGTGACACTTCTTCAGGTCGAGTGTCAAACTCTTGACGCAATTCATTGATAATCGAGCTGTTGATGGCTTTCATCTTCGCTCTTTGCAATGCCTTTGTTTTGCGTTCTTCTTCTTCATCAAACCTCATTTGTGCCACTTTTGGCGGCACATAGACATCACTCTTATGTTTTTTCTTGTAATCACTCGTTTGTCCTGATTTCTCATTATCTGATTTATCGCTATTTTGTTCATTCATATCTTCGTCGGACATATTGTTATCATTTTTTGATAAAATTGATTGCAATTTCGGCTTAAATCTTAAGGGATCATTTGGATCAACGGTTCCATCGGTGGCTGTTTTAATCAATTTATCGAAAGAGTACTTCAATTTATGTTCAATTGGTCTCATCCTCTCTAAGACAGTCCTGCTTTCTACTAATCTATTGATGGCATCGAACCCTTCCAGACGTTCTCCGGAAACCTTCTTCATTGCCATTAATATAAGATCCATAAGATATGAAAGAAACATACGGTTCTTGAGTTCAATCAAAGAATTTCCATCTTTAGTGTTCAACTCTTCATCTTTAAGTCTTGTTATTAGATTTGATGCCATTTGATAGCAATTATCGGCGTTGTCTTTGATAGTCTTCATTAGTTGAATAGTCTCTTGTATTGGATTTGCCTCCTCTTCTTCATTGACATTGTCTTTGTTCACATTATCATCAATTGATGCCATAATTAGTCAAATCAGTGATCATTTGAAATGACAACTCATGTAAAACACGTTTTTAAATGTCTTTCAATACAAACAAACTATTAATATATAAATAATGCTTTAATTGTTTGATAGTGTTATAGATTTTAAATTGAATTTTAAATTAATTAATTAATTAATAAATATTTAAAATCTCATTTTAATTAAATATCATTTATTACAACAGTTTATTAATAAAATTTATTTGATTTAACATTAAAATACAATAATTTAATAGCAAATCAATTCAAACGTATTATATGTTAGTACTATATATACAGTATATTATATAATATAAAACACTATTTTATTAATAGTAATGAATAAACAGTTTATGTGTTAATAAATTGTCGTTTAATTTGTTTTTCTATATATCATTGATCGCTAAGATTTAGACCAACGATGAGTTCAAACAATCAAATGAACCGCAATTTAGTGACCAAAAGACACAAATGGGGTCTTAATTTTGCACAAAAGTAAGTCTTTATATCCATAAGATAATGACCACTCAATTATATAAACAATTTAATTATTATTAAATTTGTTAGACTTAAGACCGACCGCAACCAAGACCTACAGTCACCGCCCGGTTATATCTGTCCGACGACACAAATTCATAGCGAAAACAACCGGGAAAATGATCACAACCTTATAGTGAAGAAGTCGTGGGACATAGCATTGGCACCGATGAAACAAATACCTATGAATCTGTTCATTATGTATATGTCGGGTAACTCTATATCGATATTCCCGATAATGATGGTCGGTATGCTCTTTCTTAGACCAATCAAAGCACTGATTCAAATCAATACCAGTATGTCTTTTATATACTATCTGTCTGTTTGTCTCTTGAAATGATAATCAAAATTTTATTGTCTTTTAAAAAGCATTTAAGATGATTGAAGGACATCAAGCGATACTACAGAAACTGATTTATTTGATCGGAAATTTGTTATGCGTTGCGTTGGCTCTCTATAAATGTCAATCAATGGGTTTATTGCCATCACATGCCAGTGATTGGCTCGACTTCGTTGATCCGCCGCTAAGGATCGAGTTTTCCGGCGGAGGAATCGCTTTGTAAATGATTTCTTATACTTTAAACACCAGTATTTTAGTTAAACTTTTATATAAGTATATTGTCAGACAAACTAAGTGTTGATTTCATTTTATTTTTTGACATTTAATTGCATTATCAAACACTTTTTGACTAATTTGAATATACAGTACCGTAGTTTGTTAGTAATGATATAAATTAGTTATTAATTTTATGTTTTTGAAAAGTATCGGTAAATATAAAACATTATTTACTTAAATATATAATCAAATATTTAGTTTAAAAAAATTAAATGCAAATAAATAATTAAGATTACAAATATTTTTTATATATATCAATAGCAAAGTTAAACAGTGTATACTTATGAAAATAGACTGATTGACTGAATTTGTATAATTTTTGTTTAAAGAAAATTATTGACTTTTATTTGATTTGATTGATAAATTTATGTACAAACAAATATTAATTATAGATACAAATATTAAATTAATTTATTTTATTTAATTTAAAGACGATCTGATAAATAAGTTAAATTAGACGGTATTAAAATATATAGCAATTGAATTGTTTTTTGATAAATATTTTTCAATTTACAATAAATTCAATTTAATTAAAAAAAACATTTTTATTTCATTTAATAATATAATTATTTTCAATTGTAACGACATATATGAACGGCGTTTCATAGAAAACATTGTAAACATTGATTGAAATGCCTTTAAGTATTGAAAAATGTGTTTACAATTAATGCGATTATCATTGAATAGACATCAATGGTGTCGACAAAGAGTTATAGGAAGTGATGGATGTGTCGGTCATTTGTGGCAACAGATACGGTGTCTGAAGGCATCACATATTTGGTCAGATTTTTCCGATAACGAAGAAAACAATTCAAAACGAAAACAACGACTAATATTGAAATCGGGTTTTGAGTCCGAATCGGAACAAATTCTTTCAAATCTTCAGGAGTTGTCCGACAATAATACAGGAAGTGATTACTGGAGTCATTGGGACGATGAAGTGGATCCAGTTATCAGAGGTGTAAAATCAAATGCTATACCATTGAGAAGCCATAAACATAAGTCAATATATGACAGAAAAAATTATTTCATTGACTGTAAGCGAGTCAAGTGTTTTGGTGGTAAAGGTGGTGATGGGATGATCTGTTTCCTTAAACTTTTTTGTAATCCTATGGCTGGTCCCAGTGGTGGTGATGGTGGTAATGGTGGTCATATCATACTTGAAGCCGATAAACAAATTAAAAGTTTAGCAAATTTAGACTCATTATTGAGAGCCGAATCGGGAGAGAATGGTATGAGTAAAGACATGAGTGGTAAGGATGGCAAACATATGATAATTAAAGTTCCCGTCGGCACACTTGTCAAAGACGATGAAACACATAGACTTATTGCCGATCTCGATGTCAACGAATCTAAATTTCTTGCGGCCCGAGGAGGACAGGGAGGCAAAGGAAATCATTATTTCTTAGACAATATCAACAGACATCCAAAAGTTGCAGAAATTGGAGCAATTGGAGAGTCAAAGACTTACATTTTTGAATTGAAAACTATGGCCCACTCGGGTTTAGTTGGCTTTCCTAACTCTGGAAAGTCCACACTTTTAAGTGCCATTTCACGGGCCAAACCTAAAGTAGCGAACTATCCGTTCACAACATTGAATCCTACGGTTGGTATCATTGAATACGATGATTACGAACAGTTAGCTGTTGCTGACTTACCCGGTCTTATAGAGGGTGCCCATCAAAATAGAGGGTTAGGAATAGCCTTTTTAAGGCATATTGAGCGATGTGTTTGTCTAATTTATGTCATCGATTTAACGGTTGACGATCCCTATAAACAATTGTTGTGTCTAATGTCAGAACTGGATCACTACAAGAAAGGTCTGTCTAAGCGACCGCATGCCATAGTGGCCAATAAAATTGACGCTCCCGGAGCTGAACACAGACTCAAACAATTGATTGAAAGTGTGGGTAAAACAGATTTCCGGATAATTCCCATTTCAGCAAAATATGGCATTAATTTAAGTGAATTATTAAATTATTTTCGAGAGTTATATGATTTATATAATTATAAGCATAATAATGAAAACGGATTAATTTGGTAATCAATTTTTTATAAAAATAATTTTGTACTTAAAAATATGTTTATTATCTTAATATGTAAATATAAAAATGTTTAATTTGTTAGTGATTTGGCAAAAAATAAATATATTGTATAATAGGATATAAAAATATAAAAACGATATATAATTTGAACAATTATTTGACACAATGAATAAATTTGTGACTCAAGACTAGATCTCAAGATTTAATGATATAATTAGTTAATAAATTTGTAATAATTGGCTGCAATATTGTGCTTATAGCCGAAGTGGTCACTTATTTTTATTGACGTGATGTATAACATAGTAGTCGTGATAATACATTAGTATACATAGAGGTTGTCCAATGATTAATGAGATCCAAACGGCTATATTTGCCGTTTGATTGTTAAGATATTTGGAGACAAACATAGAGAATGGTATTTGGGATAACATACCGAAGAAGGCCCACAAACGAAACATAGATAACGGAACCGATACTAAGTATTCGTGAAAAAATGCCGACAATAGGAATACTAAGACAGATGCGTGAAATTTGTTGACACCTTTGGCTATCAATGGTTTGTATAGGTGTCGGACACACCATTTATGGACCGGTATGTTCCAGTTCTGCCAAAAATAGTTAACTGATTCGGCATTCCTAGTGATAAATTGATTTATATATATATAAATAATTTGCAATAATTATGTTTTATTTTAATGACAATTACCACCAGTCGCGATAAAACTCGCGGTCAGAGAAACGCAAAATTTCGGCGATTGTATTGAGACACGAATGAAAAAACCAGTAAAAAAATATTAACCAAATTATATGGTTTGGGATCTGTTTGTGATTTATTGAAATTAATTTTATATATCAGTAATAAAATACATAAACATTTCATTTATTTTTTTATTAATACTGACCGCTAGTTTCAATAGTCTTTCCAACATTTTTGTAAAATTCATTTCTTGTAACGGTTTGAATGAGTTACTTATGGTGGGAACCATCCATTGCTGGATTAGACCGAGATTTAGTTGAAGCAGAAATAGCTATTTTGTTAATCAAATTAATTTGTTAATAATATTTACAAACAAACTAAATATAGGTATAGATATCATACGATTTCAAGTATTCTTTTAATAAGAAATCTTTTACGGATCCGTTCACTTCTGGGAAAATTTAATTCATAACAGAGAGTCGGAGCAAACATATAGTAATACAAATCAACTAAATTCAAATTATTTGGATATTCAACTAATGGATGTTTTGAATCATTATTTGTTGATCCGTTTTGATGCAACTTCTGGATCTCCTTAGAGCTGAACGATCGACGCCGAGTATGTGGGCCGGCATTTGACAATTTTTTGGTGCAGAGCTTGTGTTTTCTGCACCAGTAGTTGACCATATGATAAGATACTAGTTTTAAGCTAATTATTGAATAGAGACCACAAGCTATTGAGGCACCGATTGGATTGCAGTGAACGGAATTGATGACAATCGGCGGCAAAGATAAAATAGTCGCTATGTTTAGCATTACTAATATTCTTCCAGTTCTTTCGCGCCATAATTTTGTTGCAAATATGTGCTCCAATACGAAAGAAATTAATATGAAGATATTGACACTTAATATCAATTGACACGAAGGCCATGCGTTTGGTTTACCGATAAATATTTTGATCCATTGAACAGGATCTACAAGAATACCATATTTGATAATATTTTCGAGAGCGACCCTCGCGTTTGATAAGACCTATCGATTTGTTAAACAATCAATATTTGTATACTTAAAAAATTATAATCAAATATAATTACTAATAAAATTATGCATAGATTAAGAAGTCCTCTATAATTGGTGTAACCGCTGGAAGAGCTGAACAATGAGTCTTTGGGTTCGTGAACACTAAAAATATAAAATTTTATATAAAAACCATCAATTTATAAATCATTGATCACTATTGTGTCCATACGGTTGATCCGCTTGTTCCCGACGACTCTTCTTTTCCAAATCTTTTATCTCCGAAAGTCTGGTCACACTATTAGTTCGCCGAAGATATACATTATTATTATTATTAGTTAAATTAATATTATTATTATTGTTATTATAGATAAAATAATTTTTTGAGTTCATCGTTAAGTCTGTTATAATCCCTATATTCCCATTGAGTTTCTCTCTCTCTTACTATTCAATTGTGAGACTATTATCTAAAAACTTTTTTCAGAGCCAATAAAATCTTATCAAATCATTAAATGTCATCTAATTTTGCGCACACTTTGAGAGCATAGACACAGACTGTTGAATATATATATCATTAAAATTAATTTCAACCCTTTGTATTAATTATTAATATAATACTATTAATCAGTAATTTAAAACTATTTGTCATTATTGCTATTTTAAACATAACACACAGCGATATATAATTTAAGTACTAATTAACAATAAAATGATTGAAACAAAATTTGCTTAACCAGTCATTTATTATTATGATTATTACAACTATTTATAAATATTAAATTATAACTCGCAGACAATTTTTTTTATTATCAGACAGAAACTTAAAAATATATTTGAATATATAATTAAATATATAAATTGTATAAATAAATCTTATAAAAGTAATAATATATTTGATGTTAAAACTACAGTGAAGTGCAAATACATAGAAAACTTGTTTTTTCGATAATTGTTTTAATTGACGTTTGCCTTGAATTTTGAAAATTTCATTTATGATCTAAACATTACAATCAATGTATTTGAATAGTAAAATCAATTACTTTCACTCTACTATTATCATAAAAATTGATTCCTAATAGTAATTTTAGGGAAAATTTTGTTTTTATTTTTAATATCACTCATTATAATAAGTTAGAAAAATTTGAAATTAAATAGATATAATTGAATTAATCATAAACTTTATGATAATAAATATTTAATTTAAAAATAGATATAAAAATAAACTAACTTTTGATTTTATCGAATGCAATGTTTACTATTTAATTAAGTTTTTATGTAAATATTTAATTTTAAAAGTTAAAAGCATAAACATGTATTAGTAAAATAAACCATACAAATAATAAATCATTTATAATTTAAAAAATTTGATATTTATAATGTTTTAATAATATAACATTTATTTAATGATAGATTTGAATTTGACATAATTAATGATACAATAATGCAGTATAAATGTACAAATGTAAGTCAAAATGTATTTTAACTTAATTGGATGTTATACAAAAATTTTGAAACTAATTTCAACAAGTTAACTTTTAATCCATGATCGACTAATTTATTTAAAAATTAACAATAAATTATTTAAATATAAATTTATTAAATAAATAGATTAATTATAAAAATATAAGAATCTTATATTAAATGTGATGCAAATAACAAATGATATCAAAAACTAAAAACCATTATTAATAGGGAATTGTGTTTTAACAGACAAAAGCAATTTCTAAGACTATTTGAAATTTAATAAAGATATATGAGTTCACTCTTATTGTATTAAATAATATATTTTTATAAATAGTTTGCATCGCTTTAAAAATGAGTAATAAAATTATTTAATCTAATAAATTAAATAATATCGAAAATATTGTTTGTATTTTAATAATAATAATAATATCTATAATAGTAATGTCACTAAAATTGATTTAACATTAATTTTTAAGGATTCGTTTCATTTGTCTATTTTGATGTTGAAGTGTGTCCTCCGATCTCTCGGCTTTAGTCGTAATTCTGTCCAACTGTTGGTTCTGTGTTTGGATTTCATCGCCTAAACCGAGTGCTAAGTTCTTGAGTCTTCCGAGACCTAAATCTATTTCTGTTAAATTTTGATTCAATTGTCGATCAATTTGTTTAGTTCGTGACTTTTCATTTGTATCCACTTTCTTGTTATCGCTATTATCATCAAAATCAAAACCATTTGAATCAATTCCTCTTTGATTAAAGAATGGATGATTGCTTGCACTGTTAGATGTTGCGTCTGATCTAATATTATCGATAGTATTGATGAGATTGCTCTCGGAGTGAACAGAAGGACGACTACCAATAGTATTGTTTTGGTTTTTATTAGCGATCGTATCATTACTTTTAGAGAAGTAATTCTTGAATCCTCCAAATATACTCTTCATTGATGTTAAATGTTTTTGTGATACTCTCATAATGGCATTCATTGAATCCAACTTTTCTTCTACATTATCCAATTGTTCCCTTTGTCTCACTAGTTCTTCGGCCGTCTCAATGCCGGTCTTTTCCGTTTCATAAACCAATCCGAGCGACACTTTACTGCTCTCAAGAGTGCGCTCTTCAATGGCTCGCCTTTCGGCTAAAAGTTGCCGTCGTTTGTCTTCCCAGTCATTGTTCTCATTATTGCTATTGAGTCCACTGTTAGCTAACATGTATCCTGAAGACCCTTGTCGTGGATGTCTCAGAAATGCCATATCGTCGACCTCATCGTCCAATTTATTGTTCAACTGATTCCCAATGTTTCCATTGATGGCATTACTATTGTTACCAAAAGACATATTTTCACTGATTTTGTTGTCGATCAACAAAATTATAGGAACTGTTGACAAACTAAACAACTAAAAAGTCTTTTATTTGTCAACAATAATATTGATGACCAAAATGTGGTGATTGTATAACAAGTTTGTGATCACTGATCACAATATGTCAACAAATGGTCAGTCAATCCAATGAAAGACGTATTGAATGAGAGATCAGTTTATTATTCAGTCATTTGACGCAAACATACAAACTGTGAGTCAATTTAGTGTCAAATTGGGGACCAATTATTAAGTTCAGTCAAACATTGATTTGATTGAGTCATACATTGCTTACAATAGGAGTGTTCAAACATATCACGTGACTCGCAATCAATGTACTGATTGGTTGATTGTCATCAATAGTATCGATCATCGATTGGTTTTTATAATTGGCGTCAAGTGTTGAATGTGTGTTGAAGTGACCGCACGTTTGCTGTGACCACACGTGTGACCACTTTTGGCATCACTCACCCGAAGGTCAGTTACCGATATTTACAGTTAATTTATGTAAAATATGTGACCAATTGGTTGATCTTCAATGTTATGATTCAATCATTTATATGTAGAATCTATAAATAGATTCAAATGTTTACACTAACTGTTCAATTGTTTACATTTCGTTAAATGTCTTTGTCTTAGACATGATGTCGACAGTCGGACATACCGTCGAAACCTTTGAAGCCAACGATGCCTTTAGTATTACCGGTGATTGTGATACAAATGAAAAGCTAGTCATGTCTAGAGAGGACAGTAAAAAATGTAAGATATTTGACATTTTATATTACATTAATTAATTAATGACATCTAAGACTTGGAAGACATTCAAAAAAGTATTGTTTTTATTGCAGATATACTTAACTTGTTTGAAGACTTGGATACTATATTCATGAGCGATGATAAAAACAATAAGAAGTACTGCAATGATATAATTCTTATTATTTGTCAATGCATTAAATCAGATGCACGTGATCTTGAAGAAGAAGACAACAATTTCAAACAACAGATGGATTGTCACTTTAATTTGTTGAGAACTATCTTAAGAAGTCCTAAACTGGATGTCATATCTAGAACAATGATACTGGAGGTGATTGAGTTAAGAGCAGCCAATTGGGAAGTCGTTGATGATATCAATGACTATTATTCCAAGAAATTGTCTGAACTAAGAGCTAATGAATTAAAGTCATCGAAAAGTAATCAGTCATTAGGTATGTCAGTGCCTATCAATTACTCCATTGATACGGACGGTTCAAAAGCAAAACCAATAAAAGTAACGCCAAAGATGACTGTCAGAGATGAAGTAGTCATAAGAAATGGTGACTCAGGAAAAGGTATTTATAAAATAATTATTCTATTAGTTGTATCACTAGTTTACCGTATAATCTTATTTTAGTATATGTTTGGGTTTATGACTATCTATGAGTAAATCAATCAAATGCATAAAACGGATTAATTACCGGTAATAATGTATTAAATAAATAGTAATCTATAGGATGTTTGATGTGATTTATTGAAAAATTTTAATTTATACAAATTACTTACCGGTTAATTACCGTAATTTCCACTGTATAGAGATTTTTATAGTGTATTATAATATTTGACATATTTATTATTTATTATCTATAATTCATAATTTTGTTTTTTATAACAAAAACATTGTTTAAGTGATGGGAATTAAAGGCAGAAGAGTTCATATAATAGAAGAGATGAGTCAAACGATTATATCTTTTCAAAAAGGTTTGTAAGGTTTTAGTGTCGATATTGTCATGAGATTTGGTTTAGTCATTAGCTTATGGATTGTCACAATTAATTGAATATTACTTTAATTGCAATTAAAACATGATGTTAGCTCTTAATACTGATTAACGCAATATGCATTGTGCTAACAGATAAATTAGATATATTTTTTTGGGAACATACACTATAAGCTTGTTTTTATAATTAAATGTTTCAGTACCTCCCGGAGCTAAGGAAAGACTTGTTCAGATTACCGGTCCATCAGAAGAGAACATTGAATGTGCAAAACAGTTGATTGAAAATACAATTACACGAAACGCATCTCCCGTTCCTTTTGAGTGCACAAACAAACCATTGATTGATGGAAACAAAAGTGAGAAATTGGATTTTAATGATAAAATGATTGATAATAGTAATACAACTGAAGAGAAAAGTGATGATAAAAAGTCATTTACTTTCATTGTTAATGTGGATGAAGATGTGATTCAATTGTCGACAAACAACTATCAAATGGGAGTCAAAGCCAAGAATATTCTACAAAAGGTTTTCATTGAAAGACAAGAGTTATTATTCATTGATAGTTATTCTGATTCAAACGTTACGAAAAACTGTGGACACAATAATGCATATCAAAGACAGTCGTCATCCATTATGTTAGAAGCTTTTGTCAACAATTCAAATATCGAAAGATCGTCATCTCAGGGAACAGTTACTAACACAAGAACTTCTTTACGATTCATGAGCCAAGAATTGTCTAAACCAGACATCCGAATGATTGACGGAATAATCAGTTATGAAAGAGATTTCCTGTTGCGTTGCCGTCGATTACAATTGAAACCAACTGATGACGTTATAAATATTATTAAAGACAAAACACCTGACATTATCCGAACCGTAAGAGTTACGGAAAATGGATCTGAAGAGTGGTAACGAACGTAACATTTGCATCAAATACTTAATAATTAAAGATTAAGTTACTATAAAATTATTTGAATGTACTGTATATTAGTTTCGATATTATTCAATATCTTAAATCGTTTATATATTTTTAATGTTATTGTCTTGAAATTATTACAAAATTATTATTAAATAAATAAAAATAAATTAATAAATACATAATAAAAACTTTTATATAATAAATAATTTAAATGAGAATCAAATGCTTTTATATATGATTTACAATTTTTGTCTATACTTTTCAATTCAAATGACCGACGAATTGGTGGCCAAAGGAGTGAAGCAAAGTGTTGGCAACAGAAAGGACTTGAGTTGAGTATTAAGTCTTTTGATTTCTTCATCAAATCTCTCCATTTTTCGGACTAAAATGTAGAACTGAATGACTCCTTCACCACTCTTAGAGAATCCATAGTTGGAGATGACATTCATGAGTATTTGAGTGGACATCGGAAACATATATCGCATGTGTTTCACGGCATCCATCTGTGGCTTCAATTCTATACAATAATCACTTTCCGATGAATCTGACGGCAGACCCGCCGAAGACTCCGTATTATTGGTCTCATTGATTGCGCGAATCACTTGATTTAAGACAATCTTAGCCTCGGATCGACTCAATTGTGGCGCCGACTCGTTGGACGACGAAGAGGCCATCACTCAGACATTTCAAGTAACTGTCAATACATTGATTGATAGCATAAACACTATTAAGACATCTATTGATCCATCGATTCATTCAATAAAAACATTAATACTTTCAGAAAATTGTTTGTAAATTGAAATACAAATACTATTATTAATAATATAAATAACGTATAAATTAATCTGAAAATTAACTTTTGAATTATTGGTTTAGCAAATAAAGTAAGCAATAAATGATAACTAAATACTGTATTCATATAATTAATTTTTATTAATTAATACTAATATTACATAAAATTAACAAATATATTGTAAATATAATTAATTTCAATGATTAACCATTTTCTATGATTTAATTGAAAGCCATAATACAAATTGTAGTGAAAAATTGTTCGCAATTTTGGTACTTTATATAATATAGTATTAATAATTAGAATAATGTTTTCAAATAATAGTGTCTAACTTTGTTTACTAAACATAAAAAGTACTGAATCTATGTCTAACTAATAGACAAACTGTAAATAAGATAATAAACAAAATATCATTAAATTTACGTAAAGTTTTCAAAACTAATGATTTAAAAAGTATTGTTAAACCAATTGTTTGAATGATATTAACATTTGGACACAGATTTAGTTGATATTTGATATGAGTTCAGACAAATTTGACATCAAATATGATGGCAAAGACATCGTTTCTTTGGTTAAATGGAAAGTAAGAGTTGGCGCCCGAATCGGCCAAAGAGGCCAACAGCTGTTCACATATCGGGTTTGCAATGACTCTAATCTGGAACCATCTGGTGATGTAATGGTATTTAAATGCAAAGATATTGGATTAATCGTGGATTCATTGCTGAAGAAAGAGGGAGAACTGGTTTTACCCAATGATGTAGTCCTACAATACGATCGGTGTCCACACGACACCATAATGAAGGATATGTGCGGTGATTGTGGCGCTAATATTAACGCTTTAGATGACACTCAACGACAAAGAATAACTGCTTCAACATCTGTATCAATGGTTCATTCAGTACCAGAATTATTGGTTAGTAAAGAAAGGGCTGAAACTCTTGGAAGAGCTGATGAAAAGAGACTTTTGAAAGATAGGAAACTTGTTTTACTCGTCGATTTGGATCAGACTTTGATTCATACGACAAATCACAACATACCGGCCGACACACCCGGTGTGCATCACTTCCAGTTGTATGGACCGCATACACAATGGTATCACACGAAGTTCAGACCAAATACTCATCAATTTTTAGATACAATGTCTAAGCTCTTTGAACTTCATATCTGCACATTTGGTGCCCGACGTTATGCCCATACGATCGCTGCACTAATGGATCCAAACCGTCAATTCTTTCCGAGTGATAGAATCTTATCAAGAGATGAGTGTTTTGATCCCAATTTAAAGACAGCAAACTTGAACTCATTGTTTCCGTGCGGAGACTCAATGGTCTGTATTATTGATGATCGCGAAGATGTTTGGAGTTTTTCCCCGAATGTGATTGCAGTGAAACCTTATGTGTGTTTTCGCGATACCGGAGATATCAATGCACCGGAAAAAAATGTCGGACCTCTGCCACAACAAGTGGACGATAAGATCGATGTTTTAAATGATGCAAAAATTTCTGATGAAAAGAATCCAAATGAAGAAGTGCTTATTAATCAAGAAAGTGATGATAAGGAATGCGACAAAAATAAAGAAATTGATTTACAAAATAAAAGTAAATTAGATAATCAAGAACTTGAGGTTTCTCTCGATAAAACTGAAACTACTATTACTTCAGAGTCTAAGATAGATATAACCAAAGAGAGCGAAACAAAGGACATATTAGTTGAATCAAAAGAAAAAATTGAAATACAAGAGGAAAGTGAAACACAAGAGAAAAGTGAAACACAAGAGGAAAGTGAAACACAAGAGAAAAGTGAAACACAAGAGAAAAGTGAAACACAAGAGAAAAGTGAAACACAAGAGAAAAGTGAAACACAAGAGAAAAGTGAAACACAAGAGAAAAGCGAAACACAAGAAAAAAGCGAAACACAAGAGAAAAGCGAAATACAAGAAAAAAGTAATATTAGTGAAGAATCTGAATTACCATCTGATGAAAACAGCAATAATAGCAATTATAAAGAAGAGAAAAACAAACAAAATGTGACAAATAATGATAACGACGACTATTTGTTATATTTGGAGGAAATATTGATACGAATTCATGGAAAATATTATAAAGAATTTGACGACAAAATCAAATATAAGACCGATTCAGAAGAGATTAAGATTCCGAATCTTAAAGATATTATTCCAACGGTTCGTAAAAGTGTTTTAAACGGCGTTAATATAGTGTTCAGTGGAGTTATCCCAACAAATATGGCTCCAGAAAAACACAAACTGTATATCATTGCAAAAACTTTTGGTGCAAATGTGACCACAGATTTAGTTTTGGAGGGCTCACCCAAAACAACACATTTGATTGCCGCCAAATGGGGAACTGTTAAAGTTAATAAATGCATCAAAGCTAAGAACATATGGATTGTTAATCCCAAGTGGTTGTACTGTTGTGCTGAACGATGGGAACGGGTTGACGAAAGATTGTATCCATTAAATAAAGATTTGACTTTTGAAAAGGAAAAGCCATTCACTAAGACTTCATTAAAACCAAATTCTCGTGAGTTATTAAAGAGTCAACAGATTGTCAAACCATCGACGACTCCATCATTAGCGACATATGACCCAAAAACAGGTAAAAGAATTAGACCTCAAAGTCAACAGCAGACGACTACTTTTTTAGAGAAAAAGGAGCCACAGATGGAAAGTGGACACAAAAATGAACAAATGTTGGAACAGAGCCGTCAAATACAACCACACAATATGATAGATTTTTCTCCGTTATCGGGGTTTACAATGAATGAGTTGCAAAGTATGGGCAAAGAAGTTGATGACGCCTGCAGTGAGGGCGACGCTATGAGTACCGGTAATACCGATAGTGATAGTGATAGTAACAGTGACCATGAATTGAAACAAATAAAAAAGTGTGACAAAAGAGAGATGAATACATCGAGTGATGACACCGATGATGGAGAATCACCTAAAGGTTGGAGCAATAAAAAGAAAAGAAAACGTACGTCACTTATGAATAGGATCGCAGAAATGGAAGAAACTAATGATTCGACCGAAGATTGGGATAACTTTGGAAGTAAACGAATAGATATGGAGGAAGAGTCGAGTGATAATGAATCAATTGGTTCAGTAGATGAAGAAATGGCATTAGCCGTTGAACGAGAATTTCTCAGTTAGTCTTTACTTTAAAATAATTATTATTTTAATTTGTTTCGATATACAGTATATTCATTAATTCATTTCATTTATGCTAATAGTTTTCATATTAAACCAAAAACTTGTAAAAATCGATAACAATGTAGTTATGAAATTGAAATTTATATTATGTAATGAAATTGTAAATCTTTTTATTTTAACTGACATTCAAAACTATGTTTTTAATTTTATTAAAAATTATATTTCGATTTATTTGATATAAATGATTAAATTATTACAAATGATAAAAAAATGTTTGCAAAAAACCGATTTTATTTTAAATGTTTGATATTTAAGACATTTGATGGAAGATTTGATCCGCTATTCATTGGATTAGTCAGACCTAAGTTAACATAACCATCACCTTTAAGAACGCCAACATTCTTCCAGTTTTCTAAATAGTTTGCTATTATTATTATGAGAAAATAATTGATTAATTAATTGTTAGATTGTTATAAGTGACTATTAATTGCTACCTTTCCATAAGCGAACAGTTCCGTCATCACCAGATGAGGCCAGAATAGTTCCGGTGATATTCCACGAGACTCTCCAAACTTGTGAGCCATGATCTTCAAATGCGGCGACAATTTTAATATCATATCGATTTTTGTCACTCTGTTGCGACAATTGCCCCAATTGTTGTGTCACTGGATCCTGTTGTATGGGTGCTATCGATAATATCTTTACATCCTTAGTGGTGGCCACACCTATCAAATCATAGGATCGGCCAACATTTGGCGCGAAAGCAATGTCGTGAACACAATCATTGATTGCGGGCATCATATCAATTCGCTGCCATGTCCTCAGGTTTTCACTGTATTCATATATCAATACTTTGGAACCGGAGTTATTGGTATCATCGCTGCCGATGGCAATCATCGGAGATCTTGTGCGAGATAGCGAAGGATTCCAAGTCAATGAACTGCAAGCCTTGTTGCAGACTATCTCGTACTGAACAGACCATTGACTAACATTCATCACATCCGGCGCTTCATATATACGAACGATACCATCTGAAGAACACGTGGCCAGTAGTAGTCCCGCGTGTTTTGGTGCAAACTTTACGTCGGTTACTGAAGTTCTGCTGTCGACAAAAACGTGTCTTTTAAACCAAACCGATTGATTGCGTTCACCGCTATTGTTGTCAACAACTGATTTTAAGATATAATAATATTAATTAATGAGACAATTGTCGAGATTTCAAACAATATATCATTTACTCATTTCTTCCCAAACAATGGCTGTCCTATCGAAAGAACTGGTGGCCAGTATTTGCCCGAACTCTGGGTGAGCCCACGTCACCTTCCAGACAGATCCCGAGTGTGTCTTCCACGATGCCGTACAAACCCATTGACCATCTTCTCCAATGTCCCAAACCTGAAGACAATATCAACAATACAATCACCGAAATATTATCAACAAAAGTGGTCAACAAATACTTTGACGCTTTGATCCGATGAACAGGTGGCCAATCGGCGACCGTAATAGTCATACGCTATGTCGTGGATCAGGTCCTTGTGATCGGCGTGAATACTACGACAAAACATTATCTCATCGATGGTCTCACAGTTGGTCTCACAAGTGATCAGACAATCGGTTTGTTTTCACACACTTTGCTGTTATTATAGATATTTCATTCATAAATAACGTCATATTTTTAGAAGTTATGTCAAAAATATTACTGTAATTAATATTATGTTTTATGTACTGTATTTGGATTCAAATGTTTTAATGTGAAAAATATATGAAATCATTTCATTTTAATTATCATAATTAGTATCAATATATTGCTTACATTTATTAATCAAACACACATATGATATATACTTTATATATATATTGATATAATCGTCTAATTTTTATTTTTAAATGTATTTAATTCAATTGAATTGATTGATTGATTTAGATATGACTAACTCTTAAAAGTTTGTTTGTATGTAAAGTAATACTAAATAATTTATTTCATAAGTTTGATAAACTATATGACGTAATGTTAAAAATATACTGTATTAGTATAATGTTATCAATTAATTTTAAAATTATAGTTTATTTTAAAACCAGTTATGCAACTTTGAAATATGACATTTATAAATATATTTTCAAAATTAATACAATATCAAATAATATAAATAATGATCGCTATTTATATTTATTTTTTTCAACAAAAAATATTAATAAATTTTGAATATTTGTAAAACAAACTGAGCTTTGATAAGAAAATAGCATATTTGGTATAATATATATATATATATATAGTAAAACATTATACGCGAAATTAAATAGATGTTGCAATATATAGTAGTTTTAACTAAACTATACATAAATGTATATAAAAAATATGACTGAATTATTACAGCAATACTACTATTGCATCAATAAATAAAATACAACACACTTTGTACAGAAAGTATTGTATAATATATACATTATTAGTGTGTTTATTACAAATGCCATAAATTGCATAATACTGTTAATACAGTATAGTATGATATAATGATTTCAACACAACGACCCTTAAAATAGCAAACCTATGATTTGCTTGCAATTTATCATATATTTGTTTTACATAAACACCATTTAAGTGAAACGATACGATACGTACTATCAATACATAAAGTAATAGAAAATAATTTAATTAAATAAATTCAAAAATGATTTAATTTTGAGGCCTATATTCAATGCAAATATTGACAAAACATTTTCAATATTAATGTAAATTTTATTTTTGTCTCATCACAAGAAAATCTGTACAATAAATCAGTGATAATTTTTCGTCAAAATTTTTAGATAAAATTCGTGATTAACTAGTGATATGTAGTAATGAAATATTTGAAAAAAAAAACTTTTTTTAAATTCAAATATTAAATATATGAAAAATTATAATTTATGTGATTAACTAGATTTTACTATTAATAAAACTACTTATTTAAGTTTTACACCATTTAATTTAGTGTTACGTATGAATGTATCTCAAGTTGTTAACAATTTTTTTAATGATAGGAATGAAAATTTAAATTATTTTTGCATATAAATTGTATTATAATTTATAAACATTTAGACAAATAAATGGCACTCAATATAAATTTAAATAATAAACTGATTACAATTATATGATATACATATATATATATATATATAAATTACATATATTATTTTATATTTAAGAAATATATAGAAAAAAATAATTAATTAAATTACAATTAATTGGATGAATGAAATAAATGAAATGACAAATATTTGAATATTAAATGATTTCATATAACTGTTAATATAATAATAACACATCGGAAGTGAACAAAATTGGTATCAAAAATCAATTTTAAATTATGATTAAATATAAAACTCATTTTAACACTTGAATCGATAGTCAATTGAATTCAATGATAGCAAACTTTACAAAAAAAATATTATAGAAAATAATTAAGATTTCAATTAGAAATAAATAAAATCATTTGAAAAGCAAAAAAAACTACAAAAAGTAGTTTCATTTGGTCTATAATAATAATATTAAATTATTGTCTAAATCTGTTATCAATTAATGTCAATTGGTATCCAAATAATACAATGACTGTGTCTTAACTTATAATGTCTGACAAAACAAGTGTTTTAATTGGTGTCACTTTCGTCGTCGGCGTCGATATGAGATGTGACGTGCATTTTGCTTTCGTCGGGCACTTCATGCGCTTGAATAGCATCGTTGAGACCGTTGGTCGTCGTCTGGAGAAACGACATGTCGAGGTCTGGTATCTGTCCGTTATGTGAAGTCCCCGCGTGGGCCAGGAATAGGTCTTTAAGAAAGTTAAGTTCTTTGGTCAGGATTTTGATTTTGGTTTCAAGCATTTCGTTTTCGGCTTTCAATTGATTGACTCTTTCGAGTGTCTGTTGAGTCCTGACTTTAGATTTATTCCTCGACTTCTTGACGGCCAGATTATTGCGTTCGCGTCTCTTCTTGTATTCGTCAGAATTCTTGTCCAAAACCACTCGATTCACTCGTGCGAACTGTTTGTTATCGGAACCCATGTTAGAGTCGGATCCAGACATCGATGACGACGACAGCTCTTCGGCTTTAAGACTGTCGTCATCGGTGCGCAACTTCTTCGGTAGTTTAGTGATGGGCGCCATAACTGACTGTTTGTTTGTCGATATCAAGTGATTTCAATAATAATAATAAAGTGTTTTAAATATACAATAATTGTGTTGCAATTGATGACAGTATGAGTGTATATACTGTATGTATAACTCTATTGACTGTATTGTTGACTGTATTGTGCAATGCTTTGTTTGCACACAACATAACACACTATAAAGTACTGTATATTTGTTACGAAATATATTCATATGTATTGCACTAACACTTACATCAATACATATGTCGACATCAAAATGTAATCAATGATTGTATTTGAATGCCATCTATAGGTAAAGTTACTAAAGTTTGTCAATCTCTCTAATGTACGTCTATTCCGGTTCAATGTATTGTATACTATATGAGGACAACAATTACGTCTAAATTATAGATAAATTTATTATTAATTTTATAATTTATTAAATATATTATAATTTAAATAATAGATTATATATATATAACAATTTAATAATAATAATAAATTATATATTAATCCTTATATTGATATTCAATATCGTAATAAATTTAGTATTTAATATATGAAATATTTATAAATATATGATCCAATAAATTGTATTTTTATAATTATTAATAAAAAATATTAATTACACAAAAAATAAAATAATTATTCTGTATGTAAACTATTTGTAATCTGTGAAAAATAATATTGCTAAAAAATATTTAAAAATTTATGTAAATGTGAAAAATGTGAACATATTTTTATAAATGCTATAAAATTCTGTAGAAAATAAATTATTCAATAGATTAATATTAAAATATTATTTTGTGTATTGATATGATAAAAATTTAAATAAAAATTACAATATTTTATTTAATATAAATTAATTCAATTTACTTAATTTTAAAACAAATTTAAAGATTAGTATTCACATTAAATTAAAATTAGTTATATATAATTTAAGAATTTATATAATTATAAAACTTATTAGAAATAAATTTTAGTATTAATTATATTATAAATTATGTTAAAATATAATAATATATTGATAATTGACTAATATAATTTATAAATACTTTATATATATATTTGTGTATATGTAACATCTAACAAAAAAATATATAATTTATATTTCAATTATAATTATAAACTGTAAATTTTATAATAAATTTATATTACTTTTAGATAAAATAGATATATTTATTTGCATAATACTTAAAAATAGTCTATTAGATATGTTATGTTATATTATTTTATTTATAATACATATAAAGTTCATATTCTGAGGTAATTCAATGAGAGATTCTTGAAAACATATAAAAATGTTACGCAAAGTCTACTATACATAGATAGTATAGCACACAGAATCTGAAATCAAGTGATATGTTAATGCATTATATAAATTACATAAAATATATTATATATTATTTAGTATAACTCGTGTATACAGTATATTGCATAACATCTACTATACACAGGTATAACATATAAAGTATATTATTATACTTTGTATGACTGTATATATGAACCGTTGGGGCGAATGAAATGACGAGAATTTAACGACAGCCACACTCTATGGCCACTCCTTCTGCATGTGTTTTATGAAACAAAAATTGTTTACAATATCCATAAAATTCAATAGTTATTATTTTATAGATGAAATGTCTTCGGTTATGATCACATAATCACATCCACAATGAATAACGTATCAATTCTGACAAATCAAATGCAAATTATGTTTTGACAACAATTCTATATATTATAAAAAGTGATTCTTTAAAGAATTGTTTGTTTATTTTATCAATATTTTTATGATTTGTTTGATAAGATAGCACTGTTGGAGAATATTATTGTAAAATTAATTGATGAGTATAAAAGTGATTAACATTTTTACGGAATAATATTATTATTCGTATTATTGTTTTTCAAGTGTTATAGTGATATCAAAAGTATTAATAACAAAATACATTATGGATTAAAGTGATATATAATTTATATAATTATCAAATGTGGTACGTATTGCTAAATAGACTTTTGCAATAATTTCTACATAATTTTATTTACAATTACAAATTTTAACTATTTTATATACTAATTTCTAATTAGGAATTTTATATCACCATTTTTACATTTATTTAATTAATTTTTTACAACATTTTTTAGCAACAATTTTTTAGCTTTATATTATAATATTTATTTTTAATTTATAATATTTAAATGTTTTTTATAAGCATGATAATTTCATGATATAATTTTTGTATATATATATATATATATATTTAATGTACTAATTTTATAATTGTGCAATAATATTATTTTGTAAAAAAATTATGTAAAAACATAATTATAAATTCATAAAAACAAGAACAATAAATATGAATATTATGCTAAATATTTTTATTTCTAACAATTTGAATATATATATCTAAAAATAAAAAAAAAATTGTATTGCATATTTTAACTGCAAAATTCTAAACAGTAATTGTAAAACAACTTATTTATTATAATATATTTAATTTATGTATAAATTGTATGTTAAATTAAGTTAAATTTCAAATCATTCAAAAAGTAACAATCACTAAAAAATAATTAATATTTGTCTATACAAATATAATACAGTATAACTTAATAATACAAATAATATACAGTAACTTAAATTGACTATAGAGTCTATAGTATAGAGTTTATACTATAGACAGTCAATTTAAGTTATATTATTTGTGATTTATGTTTTACAGTATATACAGTCAAATATGTGAATTTAATTCAATAGATGTCTCGATAAGTGCCATATAAATACTCATATTATTCTACAGGTATTATACAGTATTATACAATCAATTATAAGTATATACAGTACTGTTGTACAGTCTATACATCTACAATATATATATATATATATAATATATAATACCAGGGTTAAGCATGGTTTTGGATCTTTGTGGGGGAATAGGGTGGGTGTATATTCTTATTGCATTTTTAAACAGTAATTTTTCAAAAAATTTAGTTGAAAAAAAATTCCGCTCCGAAATTTTAGGTGGGGTTAGTTTTCAATTTGTTTTTAAGACACAATTTTTTTATTTTGTCAAAAAAGTCGGGGTGGGGGTAAATCCCAAAATGTTCGTATAATCGCTACCCCTATCCAACCCCTACCCATTAACTCAGATATTTTCATAATCCGTGATTTATTAACTAAAAATACATATAATATTGAGTAGAATTTGAAAGCATATGTTTGTAATGTATATAATATAAGAGTCGATTATTTTAATATATTTCACATGAGATACAAGAAATATATTTTTAAAAATAAAAAAAATAATCAATAGTTGTCTACATTATTGATGTTTTAATGATAGCTATGAATGAACGACAAAAGCTATTGGATTTGATATATCATTGAATGTCATTGAAATCTTTGTCTAATCGATGTATAATAAATTTATAAACATTTTTATATAGCTTTAAAACATAAAAATTACAGTACATATACAATACAGCTTTTTAATAATATGATTAATATTTGATATAACTATTTATATTTATTTATAATATAATATCGATTAATCTACTGTATAATCAAAATAATTAAACTAATTCAAATTTAATTATAGTTGTATAAGTAATATTAAAGTATTTTTTATATTTAATATGTATATGTAAATCATATTTTTATAAAAAAAACACATCGCAAATTTTAAATTATATTTACAGTAAATTATATTATAATAAAAATAAATATTTAATTGATTTTGTTTTAATGAATATTAGAAATCAATAACTGGTTAGAGAATAAAGTTTTTGAAGATTTATAAGAAATGTTTTTAATTAAATTATACATTTTAATAGTTTTTTGGTAATCATATTAAATATCTCTGTTTTTCATAAATATTATTCTCTTTGACATTTAATATGATTTTGAAATATTATATAAAACTATACAATATATATATATATATTGTATCATATATACACGGTAGATATAATTTATATATATATTTACAGTAAATATAGTATACTTTACGTATATATAATGTATGCAAAGTAATATACAGTATATAATTTATATATAAAGTAAATAATATTATATAATAAGTATATGTTTATCTAAACCTTAGAATAAAAGAAATTTTTAATTAAATTCGTGTTTATAACTAATAAAATACTGTAGTTATTAAACAAATTTTATATAAAATGATTTGTTTAATAAATATAAAAATTGTTTTTTCTTAAATCTAATAATTTATGACTTGTTTTAAATGATTGACAAATATATTACTTTGAAGATGTTTTAAACAACAGATTATAATTATAATTTGATAAAATAGTTTCTGTTATTAATTACTTATTGATAAAATTGAATGTTTGAATATTAATTATATAAGACATTATTATTATTATTATTATTATTATTATTATTATTATTATTATTATTATTATTATTATTATTATTATTATTATTATTATTATTATTATTATTATTATTATTATTATTATTATTATTATTATTATTATTATTATTATTATTATTATTATTATTATTATTATTATTATTATTATTATTATTATTATTATTATTATTATTATTATTATTATTATTATTATTATTATTATTATTATTATTATTATTATTATTATTATTATTATTATTATTATTATTATTATTATTATTATTATTATTATTATTATTATTATTATTATTATTATTATTATTATTATTATTATTATTATTATTATTATTATTATTATCATCCTTTGTATATCACGGTTGTTCCGGTGTGATCACAGTTGTGTCGGCCACTTTTGGTGGCAGAGACACGACTGGTTAGACTCAACTCAAGTCTAGTACTTTTCTGACTGTTCTACAACTCTGAAGTATCACTGCTTTTTGCATTTCATAGATCTTAGTTTTTCTGATTTCCAGTGATTCCAAACTTAGGGCCAGATTTTTCGGTATTACGGCCATTGATGACAGGATTATAGGTATGATTTCAACTTTCTTAATACGCCACATCTTATTGATCTCATAGGCCAAGTCTGTATATTTTCGGCGTTTCTCACTATGCGTGTCCTGTAGTTTGTGTGTTAGTGGGACCGCTATGTCTATTATGTACGCCTTATCTTGATGTTTGTCTACTAGTACTATATCTGGGCGGTTGTGGGCCACAGTTTTATCTGTTCTTATTTCTTTATCCCAGTAGAGCTTGGCTCTGTTGCTTTCCATTACA